GAACACAACAGAAGGTAGTAAAAGAGGAGGCCTCCTCTTTTACTACCTTCTGTTGTGTTCTCTTTTCTGCCCCAGTCTCAGGTTTACAATCATGTGCTACGGCGTGGATGTTGTGGTCACGAGCCTTGCCACTTGGTGGCGCGTCGACGATTTACGACCTGTGACAACGTGGCCGTTTGAGATGTGCAAGGGCTGCACGCACGCTGCACCACGGCACCACTGACAGAACCAGCTCTGAGTCCGGATTCTCAAAGCGAACTTACGACGAAAAAAGTGCGTACGACAAGTTTGAGAGAAAACCCGTATTCTCGAAACGAAATTGTCGTAACTTCTGCGCAGGTTACGACAGAATCCTACGACAGCTCCGCAGCTGTCTTACGCACTTTTTACGATCAAATCAACATGGCCGACAGCGTCGCTCAGTTACTTGGTAGCGACGACCAACGGCCATTTATTTTTCTACGTGCTCTTCTCGTGCGTCCCGACTTCAACCGGCAAGAAAAAAAGGAAGGAGTACTTGAAACAGACCACGACGATCAAGAACGCAGGATCCACAAACACCCGAGAAGAGCTACAACGGCCACGATTCTACCGACCAAGCGAGCTCGGCAGAATATAGTAGGCCTAGCAGCAACACCGACTCGGCGCACCGTTGCTCCGGCGGTCCTTGGTCCATGACCGGCCGGCCTGCTGAACGGAATATGCCCGCGTGACCCTTGTCGACCCTTCCCGGATGAATAGTTTGATCCCTGAACTAAATTTCAGAGGTCAATCTTTCCCCCTTGTCATCTCGATCTCCTTGTTTTACGAGACAGCGGTGATGAACGCTGTCGTCGAGAGGGGACTCTCATTGATTCTATCTCCTTGTTTTGTGTGATATAGAGCTCAAATAAACGCCATACAGATTACCTTCGCAACACGGTATGTACACTTTGTTATTAGTATGCCATTTTTATTCTGACACGACGCTACGTCACAGTCGAGCTATAGCAGTTCGTGGGAGCTACGCGATATCAGTCCAACCTTTCTTTGCCGAGTGTCATGTCAGTATCGAGTTGCAATCGTAAAAGATCGGTCCAGAAGCGCTTACCGAAACGCGGTCTAACAGAGCGAATCCAGCACTTCGATCAAACGCGCGTGTCCGCTCCGAGTGTGAACAGGTATTTGCGTGGCTCTTGCTGACACCCTCGTAGTTCAAACATATCTTTTTTAACGTCGGCTCGCAACTCGCAGCAACTAATAGAGAGTTTTAGTTGAGCGTATTTTCAGGCCACTCTAGTCGTAGCGGGAGCTTGCGCTGCCACTTCGATGCATGCTCTGAAGCGCGCGCACGTAGCGGTAGCGGGCCTTTGAAAACGATCTACTAAAACTCCCCAATACCGGCCGTGCCAGAACTAGAAGCATGCTCGGGTCGTGTCGTGCAAAGAGCCGCAACGAGAACGAGCTCACTGTGGCCAACTACGCTTTGGCGTTCTCCGCCAAGGCTTTGCAAACGCGATCAGGCCTAGGCTAATTGTGCTGGCACGCCGTATTGCCGCAGAACGGCGCTGCTCCTATGCCACAAGTGATGTCACGAGAACTTTCCCACCATCCACCAGATGTGAATTTGAAGTCGTTTAATTAGGTTTAAAATTAGTTCTCCTGTGTTTTGGCAGCGCGATATTGATATTTCCGTGGTGGTGCCTGTCCCTAGCCCATATTTATGCAGAAAGATCGGCGCTAAAATTTCGTTTCCGTACCTCTTTAACAGCATCACTCAGCAAACATAACAGAAATACATTTTTTCCCTTCGTTACGTCACAGCAGATTGATCGCCTTTCACCAATTTGTCGCCGCTACTAATCGTGTCTGCAAACTGAAACGGGAGGCCCAAGAGTTAGGTGCTACCCTAGCCTCATCTATACTCACAAATCCTGGCAGTTCGACGACGGAGCCATAGAGTGCCCGGTCGCAGATTTGGAGCGCTGGGATCTAGTAGCACAGAGCATTTCTCGGGGAACCTGGACGTCAGCGCACAGCTTTTGCAGCGGCGAGGACCCGAAACATGGTTTTCAAACCCGACGAGAAAAGAAGCGGTAGCGCGAGGAACGCGAGGAGCACAAGCGGACATTCCATCGCTCGGGAGAAGCGTGTTTCGGCGTCTCGCCGCAGCGGGGCGCCCGTCACGTGGATTGTCCTCCCCTTATCCGTTGTCTGCCGCTCTACCTTTTCAATTTCGGCGGCCGCTTCTCGTGGCAATCTGCCAGGCTTTGTCAGTATAGAGGAGGCAATGGTGCAACATTGTTTGAGGCACGTGTTCGAGCGCGTGAAAGCGAGGGCACAGGGTGCACGCGTTGAGCTCCACACATTGGGCGCGTTAAGTCCGCGCTCCGGAGCGCGAGAGTTTGGCGCTCCTTTCACTAAACGGACAGGAGTGCCACCGGACACTCGAGCGCGCTCTTCGTGCACCGAGAATTTTTCGGAGCGCGAGTGACTTCTTCGCGCTCCGTGACGTCACGTAAACAAACAAGATGGCTGCGCTGCTGTTGCGACCCCCGAGACGAAAAGGCGTAGGCGGACCGCTGCCCCTTTTCAGTTGATTCGTGCTTAATCCAGCGGGTAAAAACGATTTGATTTGAAAGCCAAGACAGCAATTAGCGTTCCGAAAAGGTTTGTTCGTTCATCTCGCCTGAAAAAGAAATTAATCTATCAAACGGTACCGTGCCGATAGCACTGCGACAGAAAAGTTGTCGAGATGAGGAGATATTCGGACCGCTCTGTCCCTTTTATAATACTTAGCGCAGCGAATAAAGATACTTCGATTTGAAAGCCGAAACATCAGCGAGCGTCGATGAAAAGGTTTGTTCGTGCGTCTTGCCTGAAAACGAATTAATCTATCGAACGAGCGTGCCGATAGCTCGGCGACAGAAAAGTGATGAAAAGACAGTCAGACGGCTGCCCTGCTTAGAATGTTTAGCCCGGCCGCGGCGAATAAAGATACTTAGATTGGAAAGCCGAAACACCAGTTAGCGTTGCGGGAAAGGCTTGTTCATGCATACCGCCTAAAAACGATGTGCTAACGAACGACGGTGTGCCGGTATCGGCGTAGCTTCCGCCTCGCTGTGAGACGGAACCGACGGAACCAGAAAATCTTTGACAAATTTGAGGGTTTTCCTGCGTCGACGAGCGGGTTCAAGAATATTGTCTTTAATTTAAATCGGAACAGCATGCATGGAGGTAACCTTCCACATATGTGTACGAAGCGAGTCTTCAAACCTTTCAGGAATATTAAAACGTTCGTAGAAACTTCATAACGTTGCCGTCTCTTTTGCTTTAGACTCTGCCGCACCACCCGGGCCTAATTATTTATCTTCGAAATATTTTCGGCTTCTGCCACCCGTATCCACGGTTGGAAGGAGCTCGTGTGGGACGTGGCCCGTCGATAGTTGCCTGGCCGTGTTCCAAACTTACTCGATCTAACTCTAGGGTAAAAGTGGTTATCGAATACCTACCCACGTCCAGCGTTTCTCTATTTTTGTTGTCACGTGACATAAAACGCCAGGGTAACTCGGATCCATTTGAGTAGGTTTGGAACGCAGCCTCGGGTGTGTCGCGCTCCTGTACGATATGCGCCGTTTAGTTGCTGCGCTCGGAGTATGAAACTCGGAGCGTCGGAGTAGGAGTAAAGGAGCGCCGACTTAACGCGCCCAATGTTAAGGCCCGGCTATTCCCATCAGCGCAGCGACCTTTTACTAAATTGCCCAACCGCCAAGAAGTATGCTACGAGAGTAATTACACGAGCTGCACGTGCTGGCGTCTTCAGAAGTAACTCTTCTAAAGCAAAAACCTAAAACAAATGACACCTTGCATGTGCGTTCGTCAAAGCCTTATTTTGGTTATTTGCTTGGAATCTTTTATACGGGAAATGCAAGCGCGTGGGGCGCGTAGACGTACCATTCCCGTGGATGCTTGGGTAATTTAGCAATAGGTCTATTGGGCACGAGCAGTGGCGTCACAAGGGGTGTGCGGGGGGAGGGGGGGGGGGGGGGGGGGGCGGACCGCCCCGGCTGCAGCGCTCCCGGGGGTGTCACCCGCGGGCCACCCCCCCGGGTTTTGCTGACCCTAGTGACGCCACTGGGCAAGAGCCACTACCTGAATGCAGGTCGAGGCATTGATTGTCACGTCACCGCGGGGTTTGCAAAGCTTGATGACGAAATCCCGGCGATCGCGTTGTTGACAACGGCGACGATCCCCACAACTTTGTCATCAAGTTTCGCGAAGAGAGTGAAAGAAAATGTCCGCTCTTTTCCTTGAAATAGTGCGGCGACAAAGAAACTTCTTGGTCAGTGGCGTTGCGTGCGGTGTTAAGAGTTAAGAGAAAGCTCTCCTTTGACCTTCCGCAGGGCGAATGCCGGAGTGGACGAGGCCGCCTCCTCTCCAGCGTTCTGCTAAAGTGGAAAGGTGTGGGAGGAGATTTACCTGAATTCTTCGCCTGTCACTGACTCTAGTGGCAATAAGCTAAGCTTGTTTAAACTCAGAAACATTGCTATCCAATATCGTTGCACGACCCCTTTAAGTCCTGTACTTTTGACGACGCTGAGCACAAATTGTGAAATGAAGTATAAATTCGACATTCGATCAACTGTGCTCTCTTTGTCTGCTTTGAAATCGCTCGTGTGACAAGCGCCTGTCCTTTCTGGAAACTTTACTTTAGCCTGTCGATTCGGTTTGCAGAGGCCTGCAGTGGCATCTTCACGCACAGCGGTGACAATGATCGTATCATTTGGTTCACTACGAAAATGTTTTCTCGATATGCCGGTGCGCTCTCCCGAGCTTTGCCGTAATTTATTCTTGCGCTTAATTTAACCCTAATCGAACCACTGTTACGGATGGGTAGGTTTTGGTTGCGCGCGGCACTCTTGAAAGTTGTGGTGTTGCTGGTTTCGAGGAGGCCTCGGGTGTAGAGATCTTCTGCATAGCCCCTGAAATACATTTTTATAGGATTTACGGTACATGCGGAATTTTATACAGATATGTCTTTATTCGCTAGAGGAGTACCCAACCGACAAACAATGACACATTCATAAAAAATAAAAAAAAATCTTCGCGAGATTTATACACGCGCACACAAGACACACGATGTCAGACTATGTTGTTACAGAGCAATAATGGATACACTGGCATTCGGGAATGACATTTTAACAAAAGCCTTTGCAACGAGCGCGATCCTTTTCCCTGGCCACTAAACAAACGAAAAAGGCAAAGGCGACATTAAAAGTTTGCTTAAACGATGAAAACAGATATACAGTTACCTCGCGACTCCTAACTACGCAAATTTATTCTTCAATCGTTTTCTTTGTTCTCTCTCTTTTGCTGGTTTTCACGGTGTAAACTCGAAAACCAACGGAGAGAGCGTAGGCGGTTGTGATGTTTTCTGGGCATATGTACAAGTTGGTGGGTTTTGCACGTTGGAGGTGACGATCAACGCTCCATCATCCTCGCCCCGGCCTCCGCGTCTTCCCTCGACGAGCCGCGCAGGTCATACAACTGAAAGAGAAGCAGCCATTGTTCGTTTGCATCAGCGGAGCTATAGTATATGACTCTCGGGTGTCACTTGCTACAACGACAGCAAGTGAGCTCGCATTGTTCCTTAACGTGTTGTCGAGGGTCCGATTGCCGTCTTTGTAGCGAAACAAATGACACACATATTAAAAATATAAGGAAGGATGAAGCTTATCATGGTTTCGTGCGCCATTCGGAAATAGTATAATTAGCTGAGCGAAAGACACAAGCGACTTGCATAGTTTGTACGAGTATGTCATGGACGCACATTTACGATAATAGTTTGTCATTTTCAATTGGGTCAGGTGCCAATATATTTCGCTGCTGTGCCAGCGTCGAACATTTCCTCCTGTACTCATGTGTAATTTAAGCGTACTCGTAACCTATGTTAAGCTAAGATCTTAGCGCTAACACGACTTACACCTTGTTAATTGTCTTTCACGAGGCACGCAGGATCTAATTCGTTTAATTGATATTGCTTATCAACGCGCATGGTAAAACGTTATGAGTCTTTTACATGAAAATACTTTTAATCAAATCATTAAAAAATTCAGGTGCCCATTACGAGGATATATTGATCATTGTACGTTAATCTATCTCGACAGACATTATATGGGGAATAACCGTCCATAATCAGTTGCCTAAGCAAACTACCATTATTAATTTTTTTTAGAAATAGGTTTTATAAGCCATGTTGCAATCGCCGTTTTGAGGGCGGAAATTATTAGGGGCTAATACCCTTGTTTTATGGGCACATCAAAGGCCTTCAGCATAGCGACTCCTTGAAGAATCGGAGAACTACAGTGCACGCCGATCGGCAGGCGAGAAGTTGAGATCGCGAGCTGACTTGCCGATTCCTTGAAGGGGCTCTTTCTGAAGACCTTTTAGCTGCCCGTGAAACAGGGGTATAAAATAATACCTCGGCATTACGGGAACTTAAAAGACCTTCAGAACAAATTCCTTGAAAGAATCGGCGAATCAGCTCGCAATCTCGACTCTGCGTGTGCCCATTAGCGAGCACTGATTAGCCGATTCTCGAAAGGAGTTCGTACTGAAGGCGTTTTATGTGCCCGTTAAACAAGGGTACAAACCAATTTACACAATTTGCGAAAGGGCGATGGGGTTTGATGTAAAGATTCAAAATTATGTGCTTTATGTCGTCTTATTCTGAAAGAAGATGCAGGAGCAGATGCAAGTGCGTAAAAGAGTGGCTTACACGCGACGGATACCGCGTCTTTAACTTTGTAGCATACCGATGGTAGAGCCGCAGAGAGCAAGCTGTCAATATAACGACAGTTTGCCCGCCATGGGCACGTTGCTCTTCAAGGCATCGTTGTGAGAAGGGCTTGCATCGTTGTGTTCGCATTTAGTTTTGCAATTGGTCGACCCATACCCGAGAACTGATTCATGTGTATCTCAGAACTTTTACAAATTTGTTTAAATAGTTATTGACTAAAAGATCTCCGCCTTCAAAAGGGCAGTTGCAAATGATCCATAAAAACATAATTAAACATTACTTCTCACAGCTTATTCAATTAGCCAGCCGATAGTGACGGTTATCTCCCCACAGTGTCCCTCGGCTCCGTAAACACACCGTGAAAACGTTATTGACGTTATTCACGTAACAAGCACGTCATTGAAAAAAACGTATCGGCTTAAAAATAACAATCACCCTTATACTGGCACATTAAACTGGCCCTACAAAGCACGTTCCTACACGTCTTGAAGTCATTTGGCTAGGCTGCGATTGCCGCCAACATTGTGCATACAGGGAAAGTTCTGCGAGAGGAGATTGGGATATTGGGCTTCGTGTACTTTTGGACATCGGGAATGGGTGAGGTTTCTAATAACAATACTACGAAGGAAAGCATTAAGACGGCATCCCTCCCGGTAGCTCTGTGACAAGGCGCGCAAGCCCCCCCCCCCCGCCCCCCCCCCCCCCCTCTCTCTCTCTCTCTCTCTCTCTCTCTCTCTCTCCCCCCCCCCCCCCTCCGGCCACCCAACCTTTGTTTCTGTCCCCCTAACTGCTGTCTATGCTTGACGCACTGTAAGAAACAACGCTGTTTTATTTCCCCAAGGATGAACGACCACTGTGCAACTGTTTATTTGTAAAACTTCGCTCTACTTCCCACCTTTTAATCTCTCTCTCTCTCCTTCTCCCCTTCCCCTCTCTCTTTTATCTCTCTCTCTCTCTCTTTGTTTCTTTTTCACGTTAGTCAGGTTTCTGCCATTCGGCACGCAGTAGCGAGAAACACCGATGGCAGAACGCGGAATAGTACTTTTGCGGATCGGTAATATTGTCACGAATGACAAGGTGACAAAACAACAAAATAACTGAGAAAACTGAAACGTTTAATGGGGCGAACTTGTGCACAGGAATAAAAGGCAAAAGAAAATAACAACAGAGCGTCGCGGGCGTCGAAAGCGGCGGAGCAGCAGGATCGAACGCTGAGGCGAAACTGAATCCGCTCGCCTTGCGGAATCCCTATGTACCCTCGTGGGTTTCTGGATCGTTCGGCGTAGAAGGTTCGGCGCGTAGAACATTCTAACCTCGAATCAGCAAGACGGTTCTCGAATTCACCAGAACATCAAATTACACTGTCAACAAAAATGTGTTGCCACGGCCAGGTATCGAACCCTAGCCTTCTGCGTGGGAGGCAAGCGCGATAACCGTTGGGCCACGCACGCGCTGCCTACTTGGCCAGCTGCGCGCGCGGTAATATAAACAAACAAGTAACGAAAATTAGATGTATTATTGGGAATTACATGGTTTGAGTCATGGCACATCACACTCATCAATCGTTATAATTAAAACTATTTGCTGAGCATAAGCGTCCGAAAGGCTCAAGCAAGACTGCATGATTTGTTTTCCGCACTGCTGCAGCCGCGTCGGTGGCTCCGAACCAAAATGCCGGTCTATGAAAGTCCCACCCCGCACGTGGGCTTAATTAAACCCCCGCCGAGATGCCCGCCATTTGACGGAGTCTTCTTTCAATCTTGATTGCGCGTTAAAAGTTTCTATGCGGTCTAAATGCTCTTTCCATAATTTGACGTGCCAGTTCTGTTCTTTTTTTTTTTCCTTCACGCTACTGCACTTTTCTTTACCCTTTACCTTTGTGTCCCCTGTGAACGTCCTTAAACGGTACGCATTGCCATCAATCTCTTGTGGTTGGATGCATCTATGCAGAACAGGTGCCACTAATTGCCTATTTCTTCATAGCGAGGTAAAGTAAACACCAATTTATTATGCCAATTACTGCAAAAAAACAATACCATAAACTAGAGTTTTTAGTCATTCGAGAGCCTCCTGAGTTCAACATGATACTATCGTCGCATCCCCGCATATACACAGCAGGCTGTTTACAGACAAGTTCTCGCTTGCCCACACCAGGTGAGGGGCACTGCGTGTGCACAGAAACCAGATTTGCGTGAAAAAAAGGATCTACGCATGCGCCCCACCGACAGCAGCGCCACCACAATAGCGTGACGTCACCACCGCGCATTGGTGTATACGGTCCCTCTGAACGAGAGAGAAAAGTTGTCGACGTCTTGGAGCGGTCGCCTCCAGCTTCCCACCAGCGTCGCACATCGGAAGCAGCAGGGAAAGAGGGTGAGAAAACGACGAGGGTGAGAAAACGACGAGGACAGGGGGAACACCTGGGTCTCCTCCGCAGAACCGGGACTGTGGCCGCGGAAAGGAATATTTAAACCAATACCTGAGGCGCTCAGTACGTGCTCACTTTGACATCTTTGGGATTCTGGCTGCTGTCGTAGTCGCGCGCGTGGGCCTGTGAATAGCCAGATTCTTCGTCTCGGTAGTTGGAGTAGTAGCCGAAGGCCATGAACACGCAGCCTCCGATAAGCAGAAAACCGCCCAGGCAGAGCATCAGCGGGCCCAGCACTCTCCGCAGGTCGGCGCCGCGGTACCTGCGATGACGCGCGCAGTCCCTGGGTCGATGTGCGGGCCTATACGACCACACGGGCCACAACGTTTTCAACGTACGCTACTCTGCATCCCCCCCCCCCCCCCCTTCCTCGACCGAGGGGACATGGCGTAGCTTGGCCGATTATCTCGCTTTGGTCGGGCTACAATATTTTGCATTTACTAGCGTGTTGGCTGAAATCTACAGAAAATGAAAGCTTACAACATACATGGACGAAGACGAAAAAAACATATGCTTTTAACTTCCAACAATTTTTATATCATAGTACCATAACTCCGCTCCACACAACCCGCCTTGGTCCTCAGTAGGGAGGGTCCAAGACAGTTTGTGAATTGTGTGGAGTCCGGAGACTTTGCAGTTGAGTTGACCATACACTATAGTGCTCATCACGCAGGCACGTAGCCAGGATTTTGTTTCGGGGGGGGGGGGGGGGGGGGGGCTGGGTTCCATGGTTCCCCCCCCCCCCCTCCCTGCTGGCTACGTGCCTGTCATCATATACGAAACAGGTCATCATTCTTCAACTGTATCAGGGAATGCGAAGGTAAATTCAAAAACTGAGCATATACATGGCTTTCATGCATGGCCAGTATTAAATTTACGTTTCCTTGATGATACTCAAAAAAAGCGGAATAAATAAATTTTTATTAGTTTCATTTGGAACATGCTCATGACTAGATAGCATTAAAATCGCACACTGATAAGCGCCAAACTGCAACGCAACTTAAAATCCTTCATTGACCGCCCAGTCTGGAAAGTGGTATTTGCTTTAAGAAGCTGTAACGACGGGAAATGTAGGGCCTAAATAGCTGTGGAAAAAATTCATGTAAAAGGTTTTTGAGCATATTATAGCTTTCCCAATTTCGTAGAGCTCATTGATTTCCATGAAATTAATGCAAATGCAAGATTGGTATCAAGTGAAGATAACAGGAGCTCCGTAAGTTAGGAATTATAGTGCGAAACAATATTGTTGACGTTACTATCCCCCATTTTATACTTACATAATGCGGATGCATTTTATCCATATTGCTACGTATAACAATGCGTGCGAGACAGAAAGAGAGATGAAGGAGAGGGGGCGTCAAAGGAGCCAGGAGGTGCTGGGAGATCGCACGGAGGTGTGCCGCTCACCTGTCGTAGTTCTCATCGGCCGTTGGTGGCCGCACTTCGGTGTACACGATGCCCGTGACAACAGCTCCAGAGATAAGCAGGAGGAGGCCCACGCCGACCAGGCACATGGTGCACAGCGTCACCGCAGTCATGTTGCCGACGCGGAACGCCCGGAACTCGGAGTGCGTCATCTGCAATTCAGAGTCCACCATTCGATTCTACATTTACTCGCAAAATCCTTCACTCGCCCCAACGGCGGTCAGGGCAGAATAATTGAAAACCTTAAAACTTTAGGCAAATGTTCATATCGAAGAAAATTTCCGGTTGCAAAATAGCAACAAGCACGAACATACGCGCACATCAACATTCACCCAAGGTGATCCGTAAAACGTTCACTCCCGATTTGAAGATTTCGGGCATTGTGACAACTGTCAAATAAATTTTCAGCAGATTTGCTCGCGAAAATTGATCGCAACCTAGTTACCTCAATTCCAAATATTTCACGCCAGGTGATCTGTTAAGAAAGCGCGAGTGGCTGTTACTTGTGATCTCCGTCTCTGTTAAGGTCGGCCATTTTTATGGTTACGACTTTTACCGCCATGCCCCACGTTTCTCGGGACGAATGTTAGACAATACTTGCTTATGCAAGTTATCATATACTAGCCAAGCGACTGACGACTTTTATATTCGAAGAATGCACAGATGACGCTTGACGACTCCGACATGTCAGTTTCTGTAACCCATCAGTGAACACAGTTTTCACTTCTAAAAGATGCCAACTGAACGTAGAAAGATACACGAAGAGAGGGAGAAAAAGAGGTCAAACACACTGCAGGGTCGCTAAACTCGTCAACAAAAATATTCTTTGTGTTATGACATAGTGGGGGGAGGAGCCGAAAGATTGCTGCGAAGTTTTCTTTTCTCACAAACCCGCAGATGCGTCTGTCTTCGTGACGTTTTTCGTTAAGGGGACGAAAAATCCCTACGCCTCCCTAGGCACCGAACAAGAGCAGCACTAGAGAGCGCGCGGAGACGACCGTGGCTCATACGTGTGACGTCACAACAAAGATTATCAGCTGCGACCGTCATGTTTGATGGTCTCTGAAAAGCACGATGGATGCTTGGGAATTGCATTTTAAAATCAACACCGTCGAAGTTGATAGCCTGGTATCGTTCTTATTTCCGCCGATAAAGCAGAATTTACTAAAAAGCGTCCCTGCCGTTCTTTTGATTTATCTCGGCCTTTCGAATCTGGCCAAAGTGTAGCCCGACGTGGCTAGGTCACAACCAGCCGACTACCGTTGTCCACTTTCGGGCGAATTTCGCCTCCGGGCAGTTGTCTCTTCATCGGCGGGATAAAATCATTTTATGGTAGACATTCGAAGATCACTCAGTTTGGGATTAAGTATGTTTATCAACGGAAATAAGGAAATAAAAGTAATGTCAGGTTGTCAATATTGGCGGTGATGCTTCAAGAACGCAAGGACACTAAACTTGACATCATCGATTTGAACACGCACCATCAAATTTGTCGTTCACAACTGATAATCCTGACTCCATCGTCAAAGGTATCAACTATAAAATGACGTCCCTGAACGCGCCCGCACACTATATACGTGCCCTGGCACGAGTCTTTCGCTTGAAAGTCTGTCATGGCCACTCTTCAGTTCATGGAACGCGAGCCGTTTTAATTCCAGAATCTCTTGAACCGTTATTTCGAAAATTGCAGGCTGTGCTGTTCCTCGTCATTGCTCATTGGAACTCCTCTAAGCAGGGTCGTCGAAACAGGAGGATGGGGAGGGGGGGGGGATTTAGCCCCCCCCCCCCCCCATTCCTCCAGTTGCGTCGAAAGAGGGGGCAAGGGGCATAAGGGTGGAAGGGGGGGGGGGGGGTATCGCCCCATCCCCGAACCACCATAGCATTTCAGAGAGTTATAATAAAATATTAGGGGAAAGGAATATCCCCTTCTTCACCACCATCACCTCCTCTCTCTCTCCCTCCCGAACAATTTCTACGGCCCTTCTTGAGACTCCTATTTGTTTGTGCGTGTGTGTGTGTGTGTGTGTGTGTGTGTGTGTGTGTGTGTGTGTGTGTTGGTCGTACCTTAATTCTTTCTTTAGAGCGCAGCTCTTCGGCGCCCATTTCCGGGTTTCGCGGCGTGGGCGTCGCCGTGGGCGTCGCCGTCGGCGTAACCGGCCCGCTAAATTTAGCGCGAAATTGACGTCACATGACCCCCAACACCAGTTCAATTCCCAGCTACGTGACTTCAACGCCAATTCGCTTCTCCGCTAGATCGTCATGTGATGTCCTTTTCCCTGCTAAATTTAGCGGAGAAACTGAATGGGAGGAGGAGGGGAGGAGAGGAAGAGGGGAGGAGGAGGGGCATACCTCTCCTCCCTGAGGGGGTAACGGATTTGGGCGGCGGAGAAAAGCTCACCGGAGAAGAGCTCACCGGAGAAAAGCTCACCGGAGAAAAGCTCACCGGAGAAAAGCTCACCGCAAAACCGGCAGATGCGGAGAAAAGCTCACCGATTTTTTTTTAACTATGTCCTCTTTCTTGTAATATTCTTGAAGGTCATTGGGCATATTTGCTAATTCCTCAGAAATTAGTAATCATTCATTTTGTATATTAATGAAGCCGCAAAAATGATATCAGAACATTGTACACCGGTAAAACAGACAACAATTTATTGACAACTGAGGGTGCGCCGTCGGTAGCTCTGTCAAATAAAGAGGTTTGTTTTTTGTGAGCTAATATGAATAGCGGTGTGTGAACCGTTTCAGCTCCAAACATTCTGTAGTGCCTAATAGTTAAGTAGGTATTTGTTGATGCAGTCAGTGTCGGCTACGTTGTTTTCTTTCTGTTAATTTCACTAAGAAAACTTTAGTTGCGAGAACAGCTTCGTCCTATCGCGTTTGTTGTCTTTCACTCGGTCGTCGTCGTTTGAGCGGTTTTCATGTATAACGTTCACCAACTCGCCCTATTCGCTACTTTACAGAAGACTATTTCTTATATAGGTCACGAGTAACAACGGTGCCAATGTGCAGCTCTGAAAGTCATGAGTGGCTCACCTTAGAAGGGCACTATCACACAAAGGCAACGTGCGGAAACACCAGCACGAACGGCTAGAAAACGTGCATGTCCGTGGAACAAAGAAGCCTTGATATCCTACTAACTGTTTTATCCTGTTTTCAAAGGTTAATAAAAACTTCAAAGAGAATTTCAGGCACCGCGTTGTTGCGCATGCACTTTCGGATTTTCGGTGTTTACAGTTTTCATTTTTAGGTTTTAGAGGGACTTAAGTTTTCGAACTCTTTCATGTCACTCAAGTTCATAAAATTTTCAGTTAGGCTTTAGTTGCCTAGAGAGTAAGCCGAAGAAAACACTGGCCCGCCATTATTAATTTGGGAGAAATATACTTAATAAGCTTGGCATATAATACAAAAAAGGACATTTTCTTTTTGAGAAACCTGACTAACTTTAGTGATAATAAATTGATATATGTTACGCATGATCCAACAGCCTCCATAAAAAATCAGAAAAAAAAAATCGGTGAGCTTTTCTCCGCATCCGCCGGTTTTGCGGTGAGCTTTTCTCCGGTCAGCTTATCTCCGGTGAGCTTTTCTCCGGTGAGCTTTTCTCCGGTGAGCGTTTCTCCGGTGAGCTTTTCTCCGGGATTCAACGGATTTGGCCGGGGCCCCGGGTTTTATTGGCGACGATGGAAGGACGGAAGAGAAAAGGATTACAGTGACAAAGAGACGACTAGAAGAGTGGTGGAAATTATCTAGGGAAAATTAAATGATGTACAACTAACTAGCACAGCTGGGGACAGGGAGGACAGAGAAAAATTGGAACTCCCTCCCGCGTGGCTCCTGCCCAAAATCTCAACCCTGTTTCCCAGTGGGTCCGGTGCTGGGGTAACACCGACAAGGTTCACCAGAGGAAAATTGGCGACTCCCTCGCCGGGGGGAAGAGGCAGGGGGGTGATTTTTTTATTTTTTTGCCCAATGCCCCGAAGGTCATCCTGGTGATATCCTACACTGCTTGGTGACAGTTAGAGGGAGAAAAATTGGTCTTAAAAGGGGCGGGAGGAATCACGTTTTTGTCTTTTTAGACATAGGCTAGGTGGCGCAAGCTACCGCCCGTTACAAAGGGTATAGCCATTAACATCCATCCATTCATCCGTATGGAAGAGTTGCCTATTGTTGCGCTGGAAATGCTGCGCTGGAAGTGCACTTCTCAAAGCCAGAAGCACGGTTTAGCTCGCGCTTGTAGCTTTGGCTGCAGTCTCAGCTCAAGGGTAATGAAGATAAACATCTTCCTTTGCACCCATTAGTTCCGAGATAAGAAAATTCCTCCTGGTCGGCTGTCTTATCATTATATTTGTCTTTCCATATTCAAGAGGTACAAATTAGGACGACATAGAAAATAATGATAAGACGCGATGAGGAGGAAAATTCGTATCTCGGAACTAATGGGTTTGGGAGAAGAGGTTTATCTTCATTAAACGTCCATAGGCCAACAACAATAGACAACTCTTCCATAGGTTAACAGCTACAACAACAACACGGTTGCTAGTTCATCAGTGTGCTTGTCCTTTCCCCTCTCTTACTCTTTCTCTCTCTCTTTGTGTATCTTCCTACGTTCAGCTGGCATCTTTCAGAAGCATGCATCTCAGCTACAACCAGAGACAGTTTTCGCTCCAACAAATTGCCATACCAAGTTAACGGTTAGTATCTCAGATATAATAGTCACCATAACCATGTGAATTTATGGCTCTATTAACGTAGCATTGTGTTTGTGGAAAATATCTTATTACGGTTATAATTTTCTCGGTTAAGGTTACTCTCAGCTTCACAACAGAGTGGCTAGCCCAGCTACCATTTATTCTGGGCAGCCTATAAACTCGCAACATCACTAAATAGAGGGTATTCACTGGACGCCATATTTGAGGGCTATGTTTCGAGCGCATACTCAGAACGAGCTCACATTAATAGGCTGTTAAGACCGGCAGTCTTGATGTTGCGGAATGCACGTTGCAAAAGAACTGTGTGAGCCCGCCGTCAGCACGCGCTCAGCAGTCGAGCACACAGCTACGACCGCCAGTGAATACTTTCTATGAAAACAACCCGATACCAGTCGAGAAGCGATGAACGACTTACTATAGTCCCAATCCGTATCTCTTACGGC